AAGACGTGTTTTTTAAAGAGAAAAAATAACTGATAATAAATAAAGTTGTTTTTTTTTAATATATAATATGGTTCTTTATTTATAAAACTTGAAATTGAAAAAGAATTTGTCAATAAAAACAATATGGCACCACGTTCAATCGAGGAGATGTTTATCTATTTAAAGTGTGACATTTATACATTTGAAGAAAATTTTTTTAAAAATATTGAGGAAATTTGTTCTCATCCGAAAGACTTAGTTATCGCAAGCATGAACTCATTCTCAGAAAACTCAATTCGAAATCTTCGAGAACGACTATTTGCTCCACAAAAATAAATAAAAAAACCAATATCGATCAACAACTACACGCATCAAACACCAACAATGATAAAAATTATTTTACTTTAGTGTGCCGAAATAGTAAATCGAATCACAAAACACAAAAACGTTTATTAGTAAAAAAACTTAGAATTTCAGAGCCCATGTTTGGAACAAAAATTTCTGAAAATAATACAATTGCAGGCGAAGGAATAGTTCGTAAATTTGACATTTTTGTCGAAGGGGTAAGCAATCAAATCAATGAAGAACTTTTTAAAAACTATCTAGAAACAGAAATAGGAATCTCCCCCTAACATGATATATTGAATAAAGAAAATGAATACAATAGATCATACAAAGTTACCGTAAACAACACAGAAAAAAAAAAAAATATTTATATTTTTTCTGTGTTATGGGATAACAATATAATTGTTTAACCATATGGGATAACAATATAATAGTTAAACCATGCCGAAAAAAACGTTTATATACTAACATATCTCAAAATCTGGAAACTAACGGAAACCAGGAAGATTTTCATAGATCAAAATGGATTTAGGGAATATTTTTAAGGAAGATAAACTTCCAACAACATTTAATCTATGTACTTTCAACTGCCACGGTCTAAAGTCTATTTTTGAGTATACCAAATTGTTGATTCTCTCTCATGACATAACTTTTATATGTGAACACTGGTTATCGAATTTAGAATATTCATAATAAAAAAATATCTATAAAAATACCCACTCTTCATTCTTCCGCAAAGCTAACAAACATGAGCAGGGTCGACCGTTTGGCGGAAACGCTTTTTTTTATTCGGAAACATTTGTTTCAAAACATTATTCTAAATGAAGATGATCATATCTTCGCCATAAATCTTAAAAAAAATCAGACTAATATTATTATTATTGGCATTTATCTTTCATCGTCGCGCAATAATCAAACATCACTGGAGGATTACAAGAGTCAGTTGGATATAATTTCAATTGTTATTAATAACTACGAGGGCGTTGCTGAATTTATTCCCCTCGGTGACTTTCAATCTTTTCCTCACGGACTATATGATTCATAAAAGAGAGCTAGCTCTACGAAAAATAACTACTTCGTAGTTTTATCAAATTTTATTAAGTCGAATAAACTTGAATTAGTGGACGTAACAAAAGGCTCTGGACCTAAGATAACGTATCACCATAATACATTACCAAACGCATCTTACATAGATCACATAGCTTTCTCAAAGTATACGTCTCTTCTTTATTCCAATTGTTTCGTAATTCCTTTTTTACCTCAAAACATGAGTGATCATTTACCAGTATCGATTGAAGTTGGAATTATTGGACAATCTTCTCAAGAAAACAATCATAAAAACTCAGACAAGTACAGCATTCCAAATTATGCCTGGAATAACAATGATTTTTTACAATTATATAACAACCGCTTAAATACTAATTTTAATTTTCACAATTTTACGAATGACAATTACGATGAGGAACTTGTCAAAGTATATACTGTTATTACAAAGTCGGCATCTGAGGCACTTAATTAATATTTCTCCATGAAAACACCGTCATTGTATTCAAAACCTTGTTGGACACCCGAATTAAGCCGTAGTAAAAAAGTTCTCTCATTTTATTTTAAAAAATGGCGGGAAACTGGGTTCGTTAAAAACTTAAACTCGCAAATTTTTATTCCATACCGGATGGCACGAAAAATGCTCAAAATAAAAACAAAGAATACATAAAAATCGAAACGTTAAAAAATACAAATCCAAAATATTTTTGAAAAACTTTCAGAATTATAAAAAAAGATGCAAATTCGAAATTGTATATCATAAATAATAAAAAAGATAAAGACTCGATCACGAAAGAATTTGCTTACAGTTTTGAAAATCGATTAAACTCTAAAGCAATCACATATACCTCTACAAATTTAAAAATTCCACCTTGCACAAAATTCGACGAGGTAATAATATCGGATGAAAATATAAAAACGGTTATTTCTCACCTTAAATTAAACAAATCCAAAGACGCCTTCGGAATATCAGCTGAACATTTAAAGAATGCGAGCTGTGCACTAACACAAGCACTAACAGAATGGCTCAGAAAATTTTTTAACTTTTCTATTAATCATGGACAGACCCCAAAATCGATGTCTACATCACTTATAATACCACTTACTAAATCGTATAAAAAATCCTTAACTGACCCAAATAACTACCGCGGCATTAGCATCATTCCAACACCCTCTCTGGACTACAAAAGCTTATTAATATATGTAATATGTACACACACAAAAACTGCATAAAATTGAATGCTGACAAAACCGATTTCCTGCTCACCGGAAAAAAGCAAATTAAAAACTGCGCAATAACTCTCAACCACCAAAAAATAAAACTTCATGATAAACTTAGTCATCGAGGCTTTACATGGGATACAAAAAGTTCTCCTTTTGCCTCACCTAATAAATCAAACATTGATCACCGAATATCTAATTTCCGGATGGTAATCCAAATCTTAATTCAATCAGGAATCCGTTTTGCTCACCCAAACTCCATTGTTCAGTTATATAAAACTTTAGCTGTTCCAACACTAACGTATGGTCTTGAGCTGTGTGAACATAAAAAAATGTTAATGCAAAAGCTTGATAAAATTGGAAGAAATGCACTTAAACCACTCTACGATATTTCAAAGCATAGCAAAAATTATTTTCATACCTTATTTTTTATTGAAGATATATCAATTGTTATACAACAAAACAAGCTAAACTTATTTATTCGTTTGATGAACAATAAAATGACATATGATATTATTAGGTCGCAGCTGAAAAACAAAACAGCTCCAAAACATTTTTTAGATAGTATCAAAGGGTTGTGCAATAATCATGAACTAAATCTGGAGATAATAATGGAAAGTAAAAAAAAAAAAATTGTCGGCCTTAAAAATTTAATTCCTGAAACGATTCTTCAATCTCTAAAGTGTGCAGTTGAGTACTGGAACTTTAAAGAGCAGAGAACTATCTTCAAAGACATTTTTGAAAAACATATTCCAAGATGATCACGTTGAAAAAAAAAAAAATGTTCAATTATTTTTAATATTTATCTTGTATGAAACTCTTAATTTACCTAACTTGTATAGTGGGTGTTTAATAAATCTAAAATAAAAAAAGTAAATAAATAATAGTTTGGTTTTTTAGCTCGCTTTTAAAATATGCCGAAAAATCTCGACCAAGTTATCAACAAAAAAAAATATGTACGCGTGGTCATATAAGACAACCGGACATATTTTTTTTGCAACCGCACGCTTTTGCTTAGAAGGGTTGAATATATATATATATATATATATATATATATATATATATATATATATATATATATATATATATATATATATATATATATATATATATATATATATATATATATATATATATATATATATATATATATATTTATATATATATATATATATATATATATATATATATATATATATATATATATATATATATATATATATATATATATATATATATATATATATATTTATATATATATATATATATATATATATATATATATATATATATATATATATATATATATATATATATATATATAATACATATATATATATATATATATATATATATATATATATATATATATATATATATATATATATATATATATATATATATATATATAAATATATATATATATATAAATATTATTCATCCACTGTATATATTATAAGGTAAGTCATTAAAAAAATGCATGTCTTAAAAGTAAAATTATCTTGGAATAATTACTTCAAAAGTGCCTTTAAAGATCTTTCTTGATAATAACTTAATATCTACAACAAAGTTTGCAAATTTTTTTTGTTAGCATACATTCAAATATTAAAGCAAATAAATGGCTAAAATTAAAAAAACTGAATTAAAATTTTTTTATTTTTGCATAAAGTTGTTGATTCGCATAGAGATTTTTGTTAGTTTTGAATTTGTTGAGGATAACTTTGACATAGTTACTAAATTATTACTATATTGAAAAATAAAGCTACTTTTTTTCACTAAATACGGTAAACAGTTACTTTCTTATATTCTCATCAAACAACTGCTCACTAAAAAAGAAACCATTTTAAAATTATTTTACTTTTAAATAAGCGCAAATAGTGGTATTATGGTAATAAAAATTATCATATTTTTCTAAGTGTGTCTTAAAAATATTTTAATTAAATAATTTTTTGATTCTTTTGAAACATTACTTTATATAAATTTTTATTGATACATAGCATACATATGACAAGAGTTAAAACTTATTCCGTTTAACTGAGTACCCAAGTTAGAAGTTATACATTTTTATCACAATATAAAATAGAAGAGAATTTGAGTGACAAAGATATAAACGAAATACGTTTACAATCTGAAAACGAAGTTTGTATGAATAATTTTGTTTAACACTTTTTTTTTTGATTTGCAAAATTCATATTTAAATTAATTACATTAACATAAAAATAAATATCGACATTTATTTATCACATTAGCTAAGCAAGGAAAATAATATTTAATCTAATATTTACCTAAACTGAATCATACACCATGTTAGAAAAGTATTCACCGTTATTGAACCAAACGAGATGTTAGTAAAAAGTTAAAAAAATTAAATTGTAAAAAACATTTTCACCTTTCGTGTTGATTTGATGCATACTTAATTAACATAAAAAAAGGTTTAAATCTTTTTTATATGTTAACAAAACCTTGTTTACTTATTTGTTATTATTTGATTGGTGTAACCATAGTCATAGTATTTAACTAGTCTGGAAACGCGGGCCGTTTTCTTAAAACACTTAAGTTCCTCTCTATACTAGTGCTCAACCTACTTTAGAGTGCATCAAATTGTAAACATTGTATTTCGCTTTAGATAAGTTACATATATTCTGGGATAAATATTGAAATGGATGAACAAATTGTGATTTTTTTGGTTATTCAGTTTTATGTTAAAATTTTGGATTGCATATATATTTCGTATTCCGAATAAAAATAATGAATATAGAATAAAATAGAGACATCAACTGTTGATAAATGTAGTTATGTGACAGAGTTTGTAGTGGTATTAATATGCTTATTCAACCATATAGCTTATATCATATCAGCATTTAAATTATATACTATATGAAAATATGTTAGAGATGGAAACATTTCATCGATTGTATAACTTGATGGATGTATATGGGTATAAATGTTTTGTATTATATTCAGAGTATATTTATTTAAAATGTTAGCTAATAGAGCTTAATAAACTCTATATTCTATATATAGTTTACTTAGCTGGATCAGTTGATAATTTATATATTACTCTTTACACTATGTTAGTATTTTTTATGGAAACAAGAAAAAATCAGGTACAATTTTATTATTTTGAATGGTTTCAAAGCTAAATTAGATAATGTTGGTATCTTTTAAGATATATGTTATACCCTTAACACAGCATATTTATCTACTTTAGAGAGAAAATTATATTTTAATTATTACCTTAATTATATTAAAAATAATGATTTGTTATTTAATTTTCTATCTTACAAGGAAAAAATTTTTACCTTTAAAGATAAATTATTTTATTTTAGAAGGTAGAAGATTTAACCCTACTATGTGCATATCACATATTCTACTCTACGGTAGAACTTCTACCTTTTTTACAAGTGCTATACTAACAATAAATGTTGTGCTAAAATGTTTTTCTATTTTTATTAACAAGTAAAAAACTTAATCAGTAAAAAAAATTAGGATTTTAATAAATACTTTAAAAATAGCTCGTATATAACTATTTATTTTCATTATGCTGTATTGCAATTTATGCTTTATTGCAAATAGCAAATAAAAAAAGTATACTTGATGCAATAAAGATGATGCAAAAGTTTGCTACCAAATATTGCATCACTATCATAATCAAACATAAATCAAATTTAATTTAATTATAAAAAAAGTGCAGTGTATTAAAGACAGAATTCTATTTAAAAATCACAGTGTATCAAATTAAGTTACAAAATTTTATTTCAAATCTTAATTTTAAGCTATAATTTAATATCTATTTTGTTGAATGCAGAAAAAAAAAAAATCTCAAAACCTAAGGTTATCTTCAATTAAAATAAAATATTTCATGTTAATTATCTAGTTTCAAAGTCAGCTGCAGTGTATGATAATATACTTGACTAATCTAGACAATATACTTGACTTTTACAACTAGTGCCACTGCATGACAAATGTTTCTTTTGCTTTAGAAAGCAATCAAAATTTGCAAACTAATTTTCTTAAAAGTTGTTGCTTGTAACTTGCGATGTTTGTGCAAATCGCAAGTTGTTGAATAGGCATTTTAAATGATTCATTTATGCCTAATCCACCACATTAAAATAAGACAACTCTGTCTTAATTAAATATGACTTATCCAACTTAAAACATATGAAAAAAAGAGATATATGTAAGGATGGTAAGTTTATACAGTGGAACCATGAAGACAGAGAATGTGGCCTTTGTATTTTACCTAAACTTACTTTTGAGCATATAAAGTTGACAAAATATTTATTAAAAAGTGTTAACCTTGCTGCCTAAGTAATAAGTTTTTGCTGTATTAAAAATTTTATTACATTATGGAAAAGCTTATCTGAAGATTATTTCCGACACTAACAATCACTTATTGCTTGCAAGGGTAACCTATCATTTAATGACTTTCAATAATAACAAAATAAAAAATATTTTTAGAAGTTGGAAATGTAATGTATTTACCTACACGGGTATTATAGAGTGGTAGTAATATAGTATTAAGTCATGCCAAAAAAAAAAAAAATGTTATTAGATTTGTTCAAAACTAAATATTTTTTAGATATGTAAAATAGTAGTGTTGTCATTATTATTTTAAAATTAAAAAGACAATTATATTATTTTTTTTATTCAATCTTTTATTGTTATTTTATTACAAAGTTACTACACCTTAAAACTATTAAATATACATGAAGCATTTATTGTACTACTTTAGGAGCTAATTATATACCAATAATATTTTTAAAAAATATGTGGCTATGAAAATAGCCGTTTTAGTAGGTTCAAGTCATCTCACTTTTTTTTTAATGTTCTTGTTCCAAAATACTCCGAAATATTCCAAAAATAAAAGGTGTTTTTTAATTGATGTTCTTTATATGTCAATTTAGTTTGACTTTTTTGAATTTTGAAAGCTTTCAGGTTATATTTTGCAATGTACAATCTACGAACTTGTATGTAAAATGTTAGATGATCATGCATACTTAGCTGCAAGCAAATACGATAAACACTGCTCATTATACAACTTAGACATGTTAGAATTAAAACCAATTGTAAAATTAGAGGCACCAAAAACATTCCCACTAAGTCATAATAGAATGTTTTGTTTAGTAATGTAGAGGAATACATGCTTAAATGTTATAATATTATTGATAAAAAAGGTACCAGTCAAATAAACAAAGACAAGATTTGCTACTTCAAAGCATAAAAAAAATTGTTTTTTCAGAAAAAGTTTTGTAGAATCGGTTCTACAAAATATTTTCTGAAAAAAAACAATTTCTTTCATGTTTTGAATGCTACTTCATGTTCTTTCATGTTTTAATCAGCGGTAAAAAATTTCAGCATTTCAAACAAATAAAGCAGTTACATTTTAATAGGAACTAAGCTGTAACGACTTCTTCTTGAAATAATTGAAATATAATACTTGATTTTAAACTTTTAATGTCAGCTTGTAGCAAAGTACCATTTATCTGAAGCAAGCTTTACTGCAATCTTGATTAAATAATTATAAAATCTTCTAGGTTGAAGAATAATCTTTGCTTTCTTTTATTCTTTACTAAATGTTTATCAATAACCTTGTCCTTGTGCTTGGCGTTGAGGTGACGAGTCACCGTGTGATATACATCGTTTCTTGCAAAACAAACACATAAATATTCTTTCTTCACTTTGGTTAGGATAAATTAAAATAGGTAGTCTAATGTTTGAACTAAAATTGAGATCTGCCTCCAACAAATAACAACTCAGTAGCAGCTAAAACAGCATCGAATTCATTCAAATTTTCAAAGTCTGCGCTACAAAAAGTCATTTTAGAAACATTTGATGCACTCTCAGTCCGGTCACCCCTTAAAGCTCAAGTTATTTTACAAAATCTATAGAAAATGGCCCGCGTTTCCAGACTAGTTAAACACTATGACTATGGTGTAACCAAAAATATCTAATCAAACATTGATACTAATACTTTAAATACGTCCTTGATCAAACCAAGCCGTAAGCAAATATAAAAAAATTAGAAAAAAACTTCTGCACATACTATTCGTGGGCATGTTTATATTTGCTAAATAATAATATAAATAACAAGTTATTAAGTTAAAATTAGTTTTAATAACTTTTATAAAATGGAATATTTTCTTTGCTCACGAATTTAAGTTTAAATTTTTTGTAATGTTTTATTTTACTAACAAAAAAAATTTATTTTTCAAGCTTGTTTTAGCATAGACTAATTATAAAAAACCATTTTACAAAACTATAAAATAAAAATTTATTAAAAATGGTAATCAAAATTTTACGGGTTAGTGCTAACAAATAAATCATATAAAATTTTATATCCGTCAGGGGGTTTGTTCTGAATATCAAGTTTGATACTCCGAACAAAGCTCTTTTGCATCTTTCATAAAAATCGGGCTGATAGTTTAGAGAAAAGAAAATATAAAAGATTTCTCAGTAAAGTGTAAGCGTTAGTATAGTATTTACACAAAGTTGGACATGTGTCCAGGGTGCTTATTCACAACTTTTCCGTAACTCTTGCGTAGCTGAGCAAAAATAACAAAAAACTTACGCAAATCATTTTTTGCGTAACTATTTGGCATTTAAAACATTTTCGCAGCATTTGCGTAATGCTAAGACTGCGCATGAATTACGCAGTACTTACTCAAAATTTGAGGCAATATTTTATAGTTATTTGTATTAAGGATGTAGTTAGTATTACTAAACCCTTTTTTATTAAGACATAGAGAACGAAATGAACAAACAGTAATGCATCTTGTTTTAGAGGCAGGGCTTTCATTTATTTAAACTTTATTTTTTTTTGTTTTGCTGTATTTAAAAATATACCAAAAACATATATATGCCATTCAAATAATATGTGACATTCTTAAATAGTCAATGGTAGTGTGGAAAGGGGGAGGGTGTTTCAAAGTGTTACTATATATTAAATTGGAGAGGGGTCGGTTAGCCACAGTGTGACATTGGTAAACGTTTTAAAATTTAAGTTCTAATCACAGCGGATTACTAAATGTTAAGCAAAAAAGTAACAAATTCAAAGATATATTTGTTTTAAAATGTTACATCACAAAAAGGGATTGTTCAAAATGTCACATAAACAAAAGTCACATACATCTCGTAGTGTTTGAATAGCCCCATATAGCATATACAAGCAGCTACTTTTAGAAGTAATAACATATATAGCATAAACAGTCTTTCAATCTATTTTTAATATCAATTAAAAAATTATCAAAAATCAAAAAGTAGAAAAATTTACCAAAAAAAAGTATGTTAGGTTTAAATGTGATATTATTTATTAACAAAATACTTTACATCTATTGTTGTAAATATAAATAATACAAGTACTCAATAAGAACTAATTGAGTCAAACTAAACCAAACCCAAAGGGGTAATA